GGTGCTCCTTCCCACTTCCAATGTTGGCCATTAGAAATAGTGTTATGCTTGCAGAAATATCAACACAGTGAGGAGCAGTTTGTATGAAGAAAACTGAAAGTGGGTTAATGGTATTTTGCCATTCTCCTTGAGAAGTTGCAATTTCATTACCCATTACCCTCAGTAGTTTATCAGTTTTCCTTGAGAGTTCACCAGTGTCCATACTGATTTACTCCTAAGCAAAGAGAGGAACTGAGAGCCTAGCGCTTTCTTTATTTATTCTTTTCACCCTAATGTCAGTATGCATATTGATTCTACTGTTCTTTGTACATTTCCTAATTTTCAGACTGGGAGAATATTTTTAACAATCAAGAGTTTTCTTAGTTGGTGATCATTCCCTTTATTCTCCCAACCTTAACAGGTCATTTGGGGGGTGATATTGTAAGGAGAAAGTAGATGGTAGTCACTCTTAGAGGACAAAGCCCTGTTTCTTAGGGTCAAAGGGTTAAAAGTGACACTCAATAAGACCATGACCTCTTGGTGCTTAGAGTAGTGTCCCCTTCATAAGCTGACTATCTATAGCCGGGCTTTTTTCTTTCTGGTTGATTATTATCAATTATGACAACTTATTTTCCCGTTCAGCAACACTGTCTTTTGCTCCAACAAATGGCTAACGATTGAAACGTCAGCTTTGAAACTCTTTATGGTGACCAATTTATGTTAGCATCTCAGTTGATGAAACCAAATTACCTTGTTATACTATCCCACCAACACAGCACCACAGTTTCTTTAGAAACTTGCCCTCTTTACACAGTCATTTTGCTTAGAACATGTATCTTTTTATGTATCACATGACTCATTCATGTGCCTAATAGACTATTAACTTTGATCTCAAATCTGCAGCAAAAAAGACATTGAACTGTTAAGCAAAGTGCTCAACAATCTGGGTTTTATGTTGAATGATGATAATGTTGCTGTTCAGAAGCGAGTCATGCTGTGTTTTACACAGCTGTACAAGTATGCTTTACAGGTCAGTAAATGTTTGTTTCAAATTTAAAGTGTTTTCACTTATTTTATGCATGTACATCTAAAGTTGAAGTGAAGTTTTTGCTAACCTTTACCAACACATTAACTCAGATTGTATTAACTAGTGCTTTGTCTCCTTCTTTAATTAGTACATCTGCAAGCAAAAAGCAATATCTGAAGAGCTAGAACGCATGTGGGAGGTGAGTAGATTGAACTTTCTTTGACAAATTTTACAATTAACTTTTGCCTTGCTAACGCCCTTTTGCCTTGTAGACACCCTGAAATTGAAGAAAGGTTTTGACCCTTTGTCAGAGCGATTGATGAAACTGGCTAATGCTCGAAAAGTCAGCCTTTAAAACTCTTTATGGTGGCCAATTTATGTTGTCAACTCAGTTGATAACACTTAATCACCCTATATATTAAAAGATTTGTATATTGCAAGATCTCTAAATTCTTATCTCCATTGTATCCCTCTGTTACCTGTAGCTATCAGTATTGTGATGTCTTTATTTCTTGTTTTTTTTTTTTGTTTCAACTTTATTCTGTTTTTACCTTCAGCTTCTCATCCAGATAAAGGAACAGATTATTGATATGCTGGAATCTGACAATGATGGGTAATATGAAAACTTTTTAAAGTACTATATAATATATATATATAATTTTATATATATATATAAATACATGACCAATGTACCTTCAATTGCTACAAAATTATGTGTAGCTACAATACAGTAAGCTTTTGAGCAAGCACTTTTTATTAGCACTGCAGCTAATGAAATAAAATGTGTGTTTCTCCATCAGTGGGAAGATTTGAGATGACTTAGGGAGAGGTTTGCTGGGATCTGGCCTCATTGTCAGTGATAGACCCCTTACAGACCACTCATTGGTTCACATTTCACAAGGACTCAGACTTTCCCCTGGGCGAAGAATTGTGTGCCAAAGCTTGCAGGCTATAGTACATAAGTTTATAAAATCTAATTTTTCTCAAAATGGGATTTTTTCCGTTTCAGAATAAGAACTCATGCTATAAAGTTTATGGAGATGCTTGTTCTTGTCCAGTCACTTAAAACTCAGGTATGCTTTCTTATTTCTTTGAAAAGGCAAAAGGAAATGTATTAAGTGCAACCATGTATGTTATTAATGCAGGATTCTGAGTCACTGAAGAAAGGCGAGGCTGACATCTCATTGGAGATAGTTCCCAGAAATCATCCTCTAATCAAGATGACAGAACTAAGGGAGGAAGGAGGATCAACACTGGAATCTCTACTCACCCTCATTGCATCTCACACCATCTCCAGGTTTGCTTTGGATGGAGTTCTTTAACTTTAGAAGTGAACAGTTTTGATTTGCGATTCTAAATGAAAGCGCACTTTGCAATGTAACACCTATATTGAATTGTCAGCTTGGGGCAGGGCTATTTGTTGTTGTTGTCGTCATCACCATCGTTACGCATTGTTAACCTGTCAAGGCTGATGGAGTTGTTGTTGATGCAAGCTTTTATTCCTTTGTTAACTGCAAATTTAAAGTACTGGAGCTACTACCCTATGAAGCTACACGTACAGTTAAACTAATCAAGATTGATGTTTGAAGTGTGGGTGCAATTGATTTTTGAATCAATCAACTTGCAATGAGCTCCAGAGCATCATGATCTCCCCATTTAAGACAAGGTCACACAGGGAGTTGCAGCATGTCTGGGACAACCTTGCTTGGGAGCAACATGACTGCTTACCATTCAAACAGAGTTGTTAATGTTAACTGTATGCTTTACCTGTAAACCAAGCATATTTACTCTTTAACTCCCAATATCTGATTGTTAATTCTCTTGGCTAGTTGCTTCACATTTCCCTTGAAATAAGTGACAAGAATTTGATGTTAGATCAAGATAACAACTTATATCTAATGAATTTGAGTTTTCTCATTATCTGCTTGCTGGATAATGTGTAGATGTTATAAGGAGAAGTTACATGTTAATCACTTCATATATATCTATCACCAGTGTTAACCTCATGGCTTCCCTTGGATCCCTGTCAGCAATTGCTCGTCAAAGGCCTGCTTTTATGTCCATTGTTGTTCAGGCATTTGAGTCTCTCCATGGTAAGAAATTACTTTTCATGTCTTTTGTGGTCTTTGTACTTTTTCATGTTACAAAGAGAGTTTATATGTATTATTCACCAGCCAGGAGGTCTGTATTGGGAAAAAAATAAAAGAAATTACATAGGGGAGAGGTTGAAGATAACACAGCATCAAAAATGTTAATGCAATTTCATTCAAAAATAAGAATTACTTTGTCACATCTAATCTTGGATGCTTTATACAATGTAAATTTCATGTAGATATTTTTTAAATCTTTCTCAACAGCTAATCTTCCAACTTCTCTGAGCAAATCGCAAGTCAGCAGTGTTAGGAAAAATCTGAAGGTATTTTTTATTAAAAAATGAAATTTCATTTTACAATTTAGAACTTAGCAATTCATCTGTTGCATTCTAATGGTAACATACACTGATGTACTTATTACTGTCAGGAAGATAAAGGAATCAATTGAGCCTAAATCTTCTGCCAGACTTAAACTGTGGTTTTAGACTTCAACAGAACTCAAGCTTGGGCTGTTTGAAGTAAATATTAAATTTTTTTCCATTGAGGGCAGCCAGCCTTCTTCACACCATTTACATAAATCAGTTTTCTTAGTGAAGAATTACTAACCAGTATGTCAAGCTATTTAATTATGCTTCAAATTTACAATTGCTATCAGGGTGAGGTGATTAATGACAAAAATAAGTGTGAACCTTTACTGTTAAGACTGCTCTAACAAGGAAAAGACCTTACTGTTTTGCTTTAAATTCCCCTTTCCTATTCATTGCTGCACACAAACTAAGCAAGTCTTATTTAGGGAGAAGGTACTACATGTATTTGTCTGGCATTCTTAAAACAGTTATATACATGTATGTTGCTGATCTTTGAAATGATGTGAAATTTAAATATTGCTGTGGTACTTTTTCATTAGAAGAGCTAATTGCATATTGTAATTTTTTTTTACATCATTTTAGCTTCATCTGATGAGTTTGATGAAACATCCATCTTCAAGTAAGTGAAATTAAATCTCAGTCGTTTTTTCACCCATTTTTTTTTTTGGGGGGGGCATTAGTTGTAGCCCCAGAGTCAACTTGCTTGTTCTTCCACTTTATCCAACTCTGTTAATGCAAATGGATTTGTACATTTTCTTGTAAAGATGGAAAGTGAGAAATCATACTTGTAAACTAATTTGATTGAACCTGGGGATGAAAATTATGCAAAGAAATGATCATAAGTGACTTGATGAAATGTATTTTTAAAGGAACGATTTGTTATCAAATTCCTCTATGGGAAAGAAAAACCCTTTAAAATTTGTCTAGCTTTCAATATGTGGCCTCTTAACACAGTTTGTGGTTTTGAGGCTTGAGTTTCTTCATGCTTCTTTTCTGTTATGACTTAAATTGCAGTTTATCTGTGAGTATCTTTATTTGCTTGATTTTTATCTGCAGGTCAATTGAAATTTATTTCATTATAAGTTGTTAAGCAGATGTTGTTATTGTTTTTCAGTTGAGTTCCTTCCCCAGATTACCACACTTTTAACAGATCTTGGGGCTTCTCAGGCTGAGGTCAGTATCATTGACGGAAACCTAGTGCATAAAAGTTTAAAAAAAAAAGTGTTATAGCAGTAAATTATAAAGGCTCTGACACAGCCGGTCGCTACACTTCTTTTGGATGTAGGGTTACGTGACATCTTTCAGAACCTAAACGCGAGAGACTTAAGATTATGTGGCTACAATTGTTTCTTTGATATCTTGAGGACTCGCCCCATTGCAAGTTCGCCCCCTCCTGGATGACTTCGCCCAAGCATGGGATGAAACCTCCATAAACCATTTTTTTGTACTTTCAATCAGTGAATTTTGATTTGATGTTTTCTTTGATTTCTGTAGCTTCAAAGGAATATGCCAAAAGCCAGTGCCGAGAAAAGAAGGTTAGTTAGTTTATGCATAGATCATATCGCTTCAAGACTGAGTTCATAATATAATTTGGCCACCGTTTTGAAGTCTAAAAACCACATGATATTAATCTTTGTTGTATTTTGATTTGACCTTCGAGGTCTGAACCAGAAGCGGCGTCTTCAAAGAAGCCGAAGCTTGATGTAAGTAAAATTCTGAAAAAAACACAGAAACAAAAACAATAACGAACCAAACACACACGTTGAGAAGCTCGTGACAAGACCTAAAAATATTTTTCTCAACTTTGTCAGACTGAAGAGATAGAGACGATGTCTGCATCAGATGCGGTAGACATGACAGCACAGGATATTATCCCCAGACTCAACAAAGACACTGTAACAGACCTTGTACTGGTCAGCATGTTGGCTCTTCCTGACAGCATTCCTTCCCACTTCCACGACACCTACACCCCCATCGCCGCCGCAGGTGGACAGGCGCAGGTTGTTCATCTTGCTCGACTGTTAGCCACCCAGATGAATGCTGCCAAGATTGGAAAAGGCTACGAGAGAATGGAAGCTTTGCGAAAGGTATGTCTCTGGTTTAAATATTGTCTGAGATCTGAAAGTTAGAAAGGAGAAACTGAAGGTGGAGGGGTGGGGGGGGGGGGCAGGGGTTGTTTGGTTATCGTAAAAAAAGCAGAGTCCAGATTTATTAAGATTCCAAAATGTTTACAAAATCGCTGAATTGAATGAAGATTCGTCAAACTCGCTCACCTGAAAGTTATGTGTACTGTACATTAAGCCCTTTTACAGTATGGGTAATCAAAAAACGACAGAGAACGGCAGCTGTGGTAGTTAGAGAAACGGCTGACGACGTGGAAGCCAGACGTTGGGAAAAAATTGCCGTATTTTCCCATCTTTACTGCCGAAGATCTCATTAGGGAAAATTTCTCTTCTTGTTACTTTGATTGCGGCGTAAACATTCGTCGTTGTATCGTGTCAACAGGCTCAGAATGACCCACGAATGAAGGAGGAGAGTATGTCGATCCCTGTGATTGGTGGACCAGGCTTTAACGGGCCTGGCGCTGAAGACGATCCTATGGTAGGTGGTGGAAAGATTCATATACTTTTTCAGTTGGTGAAAGTCATTTTTGGAACAATTACTCCGCTAACGCTCTGACGAAGCTCGAAACGTCAGCTTTAAAACTCTTTACGGTGGCCAATTTACGTTATCAACTCAGTGATAGTACAAAATTACCCTGATTATTACTTCCAATGGTTTTCAACGAGCTGGAGATGAGATACGTGGGGGAAGGGATTGCTAATGGCTAGTAATACCCGGATCCATCGTGATTGTTTTACTAGTCTTAATTGTAATTCAGTTATGTATAATATCATTTTTTTTTCAGTTTATGTTTGGTGTACCTAAACCCGAAGAGGATTCAGCATTGCAGAGGATGTTAGGTAAACGATGAATTAAGCTTCATTGTTAGAAATTCAGTTACATGAATACCAGAACTCTTTCCTGTCACTTTTGGTTTCAGTTCGAACCAAACGCAGCCTACATGAGGCTTGAGAAAAGTTTCTTAACTTTCTCTGTGTCCCTCGCGGACAAAACTTATATCACGTGGGATACTACGTAATCCGCCAACGCTATCGAATTTAACGCAGCGGTCAAACGTAGGGCATGCGCGAGGGGATCAATTCTGGCCGCCGGCGCGTCGATTTTTCGCGCAAAAGTTTAGAGGAAAATATAAGGTTATGCGCAGGGTAAGCGAAAGAAATTTAGGATGATAAATCATTGTATCACTTTCACCCTAGGTGGACACCTTGAGGCAACCAAAGAAAAGAGACCGATGGATATAAAGAAGGTATTAGAAAAGGCTGTTTTCCCTTGCTTGATATGAATGAAACTTCATGTTTGACAACAATTTTAACCCTTTAAACCCTAGGAGTGACCAGCATCTAATTTCTCCCAACAAAATCCCTCATGAAACACACATTAAGGTCATGAGAATAAAGGAAATGATCACCAACTATTCAAGCTTTTGATTGTTTAACAAATTCTCCTTGTCAGCACCTTAGGAAATTTTATAGAGAACAGTATGGAGAATATGCATCCTGATGTTAGGATGTGAAGGGAGAATGCAGTGATGAAGTAGAATGCATGAGTAACAGTTTTATAAAAAAAATAACTACTTATTTAAATAAAGGTCAATTATTATATAGGTTAGAAACGGAAGAGAGTTGCTAATATCCTTACACCCTCAGAAATTGATGTATTTGTTTATCAGATTTAATGTTAGTGCTTTTTTCTTTCTTTAGACGCCATTTGTACCTAAAGAACCTGCTGTCCCTCAGCTGGTAGGATCATTTTTCGTTAATTAGTGAACTTTTTTGGGAGTCTGAGATCCCATGTGTTCGTTTATTCACGAAGAAACGATTTAACGGAGGGTGAAAGGGATCTATCAATTGGTGCGCTGGACTTTGGACTGAGAGGTCTGGAGTAGAGCCAGGGGCAGGCTCAGTGTCTGATGTTGTTGGACCAGGCCCTTCACTCGACAGTGCTCTACTGCTAACTGCCTGGGAAGTTTGTAAAATGCTAAGGGGAGGTGGGGGTCGCGATTCTCCTAGTCTCTTTATGCAACGGAAACTAGGATAAACTGTAGCACATAGGGCCATTAGGCTCGCGATCGAGACCGAAACACTTGCCTTAGGAAGGCTGTCGTTTTTCAAGCTTCGCGTTCGTATTTCAGCCAGCGTGAGTGTCTTTGTGTCATTCATTCTTTCGCTTCAGTCTCTAAGCCTCACTTACTCCTTGTTATTTCAAACTTTTTACTAAAACAGCTTTCTGAAAGTCCATAGTTGTCTATACTGGGGTTGTTCTTCTCAATGAAATATCACTGCAAGTTTCGGGAAAAACGAGAGAAAGGAAAGTTTTTTAATCACCTTTTTTCGTTTACTTGAATGTTTGTTATATAATATGCAGCGCATGAGGAAGATCAAGCCATTCAAGTTATCTGATGTGACAAGGGAATTGAATCCGGACGAAAGACAAAGTCTGATGACGAACGCTGTCAGTAGAATACTTGCCTCTGAAGGTGAGAATCTGAGAAGGTCTGGTGAAAGAAAGTGACAGAGTATCTAAAGCTTTCCTTCTCGTAAATATCTTACAGTTGTCTTTTATCCGTGTTTTTTTTTTTTTTTTTTCGTTATTTGTTTGTTTGTTCGTCGGTTGGTTTGTCTCTTTGTTTGTGTCGTTGCCATTTGATATAACGAAGATTGACTAACGGGTGGAAAGAAAAGTAACAATAGCAAAAGTTGAAGAAATACTGAAATAATGAATTTTCTCCGTAACCAACCGGAAGTCGGTCAGTATGTTGTCACAAGTGTGTTTGTTTGTTTGTTTTGTTTTTTTTTTTTTTACATGTGGACCTTTTTCAGGGTCTTGCTGGCCGATGAGTTCTCCTCAGCTCTTTGGAAGAGCATCAGAACGACAAATTAAAAGTGATAGCGGTTGCAATTCTCTTTGATGCTCTCATCTTCTACGCTCGTCTTAAGTATTTGACCGCGGTTTTCTTCTTGAAATCAAAGCAGATGTATCTTTAACTCTTCTTTTACTTGTTTCTTCGTAGGTAGTGCTGCAAGGAGCGGAGTTACACAGGTAGATTTTTTACGAGGTTTATTTACAAATTTTGTTCCTCTTCTTCTATCCAAGCCTGTACAAATCTTATTTTATGCTGTAAAACAACCTCCCTGTGACGTTTTTGTGTCCGTGTTGGCAGTCGGTGAGATGATAAAGGTATTCTTAATGACCCTTTTTTCGGCAGGAACGCATCAATCTCATTGTCGGACTTGTTACACAATTGGGAGGGGATCTTAAAATGGGTAAGTCCTCTTTTTTTTTCCCTATCCTTTTCTTTTGTTTTCTTTCGGAGGAATTGGGTGAAACTTCAATCGTACATAAAAAATGCTAAGTTTGATTTGTTGTCTAGTTGTTGGTGCCTATCTTGTGCGACCACTGGAGGGTGGCACAAGTTCTTAATTACCAGCCGTTGTGCGGGAAATTAGGACCGCATCCGAGGGACCCACGTGTTTCTAAAACAATCACACACCATCCTGAAGTTAAACCAAATGCAGTACCTGTTTTCCCTTTAAATTCAATCGAAAATTTTATCGTGGATCGTAAAAGAAAACATCAACAACATTGTTTAACTTGTTCTCATGACCTGTGAAAGTTTTTGATTACCTTGCCATTTCTTAAATTTTAAGCGTTCTTTTGTGCTTATGATGGATGATTTCAAATTGTGTTACTTTCTATCACTGCAGTTCTCCAAGAATTTATTCAGGAGGAGATCCGATCCCGATATGATCTGTTGATGTCCTGGCTGTATCAAGAATACGCATCATCAGAAATTGAAGGAATAGATGAGGATTCTGACCTGCGCCAATCGTACAGTGATTGTCTTCTAAATCTTATGGACGGACTCTACGCTAAACTGGATCCTAAGGATAAGTAAGTAATTCCTCTTCATTCTCAATGAAACTCCAATTTTTTTTGTTAAGGGGAGGGGGGGGGGGAGGTATCACATGGACTCAGAGGAAACGGAGGTGGGTCAGTCGTTGGTTACAGAGCATAAAGGGGTCCGAACTATAGAAAATTGACTGCCAATTAGGGGGGATGTAAAATACTACAGAGCCTTACGGGGGATCAGGTGAATTTTTGTTGTGATACAACCAAAATCCTTCGACCGCTTCTTCCCCCCCCCACCCCCCTCCAGATGGTAAATAATGATTTGTTATGGAAACTGCAGAGCTGTCAGGCTGGGGGAACCTTTTTTTTTTTCCTCGCTCGCTCCGCTTTCGCTCCCGCCTACTAAATCATGTGTTAGTGTTCCTTTTGTTTTACGTGTATTTTAATAATTAAGACGACCCTTGTTTCTCTAACAGATTGTTTACTCGTATTCTTCTTGACATCCCGGCATTAACAGACGGAGCAGTAATGGCAGTGAGAATGTATTGTGAAGACTTGGTGAGTAAAGACTACATCAGAAGTCACGAACTTTGCACCAGTTAGTCACATGATCGATGATCTTGAAAATTGTGTCAAAGAGCAACTATCTTTTTAAATTGAGTGTGCGTAAAGAACTCGTGTGAAAAAATACCGACACAAACGACTCGCTTAGCGACCAGGAGTATTCATTCCTCTTTCGCGGTGTGGAATGGATATTTATAAGCCCCCTTCCCCTTCGTATTTCGTCATGCTTCATTGACAGTTTGCTGATTTACGCATTTTTATTCCTCGGGTTTTGATATCAGATGTCAACATTTCTTTTTCTCCCAACTCGGCTTTCACAGGTCGTCTTATAAGTAAGTCTAATACTAGTCTCCTTCTCAGCCGTGCTTAGGGATGTCACGTAACGTATTTCCCAGAAGAAGGAAAAGGAATGCAGTACGGATGTGACCAGCCGCCACTTTTGGGGGAAGCGTTGCGTGACAAACCAAGGAAGAACTGCGATGGCATCAGTTATTCCGAAACTTATTTACTTTTTATTTTTTACCTTTATGAGCCAGTGCATCAGAATTCATCAAGTAAGTTAGAGTGTAAATGTTTGCTGCTCTTTCTTTGTAGGATCGGCTTCAAGTTGGATTCTCTACTCTAAGAGAACTAATCTTAAAACGTCCAGCCACCCAAGAGCAGTTGTTACAGACTCTGCTAGAGCTGACCACAAACGAGAAGGAGCAAGTTAGGGTGCAGGCCATTCACTCGGCGAAGAAACTCCACACGCGGCCTGAACTCGCCGAATCTATTGAGGTAAGTGTTGCTCTTTCAGAATGATTATCTCGCAATTGAAATAGAGCGACCTAGATTTTCCCCTTACCGTTGTTCACGTGATGTTTATTCTGCTTACTTGGTGTGAATTTCAGAAATACGCGCTCACTTCCTTGCAACAATTGTTAGCCGACCATCCACCCGCTCCGGAAGGACTGGACCCAGATATAGGTATACAGGCCTCATTAAGCACCTTAGCTCGTTTGTTTTTTCTTTGCTTTTTTCCTTTCTCCTTTGGTGGCACGAAAAAATAACATCTTACCAATTGCGTCAAGACCACATTTGCAGAAAGATAATTTTTTTTTTTTTTGGGGGGGGGGGGGGCGGGGGAGGGGATTAACGAACGCTGTGCAAAGCGAGGGTGAAAATAACCTGACGCTCAATTCGGAAACAACACGCAACTTGTACAACGGTTTGTTTGGGAGGGGGCTATTTTTCTTTGAGAGGTTGTGAGAAAAAACACAGAAGTCATAGAGGATAAATTCTTTCCTTGAGTTGTTTTTGTCTTTGTCTGTCTTGCAGAAGTAGCTCCTGGGGAGTGGACAGATGACACGATCAAACTTTGTCTTTATCTATACCTCGCGTTGCTTCCACAAAACCACAAGTTGTTTCACGAGTAAGTCAGCAACTTACATACAACAGTAATATAAGTAGATACCTTGGAGGAGAGTTGTAACTTAACAAGGGCCCTCTGGGGTTCTTGGAGTTGCATAGCTTGGGTGGGCTTTTCATGATTAGAGGTGTGTTAGAGAGTACGGAAACTGTTATTTGTTGGTCGAAATGTTTGCCGAGGTCACACAAGAAAAAAAAATGCTTAAAAATCATTTAGTTTAACCTCAAGCTTATTTCTTTCGTTCTTGTTATCATGGTATGTATAAATTTAGAAAGAAAAGCACTGTACTGTAATTCTACTCAGTTCGTGATCTCATTTTCAAAGCTTTACAGGGTATCGCTTTTCTTTTTGCAACTGAACCTTAGTTATTGCTAACTCTCACATGATGAAAAACATTAGGAGATAGAGAATTGTTTTACTGCGGCGCTAGCCCCCTAGGAATGTCAACCAGTTTCAAGGCGAAGGACTGTGTGTGCAATTTCAAGAAAGCACATAACCTTCCTTTTAAAATATTTTTGCCAAGCGTCAATCTGGCGTAGTGAAACCTCCGTTTATCTATTTTAAGGCGAGTGATTGATAGTTTTCGCTTTGCCGTTTACATTAGTGACTCAGACCTGATCAGAAATCCCGTGTCATAACTCTCGAAAGCTTTCACTCGGTACGCTTGGTAATGAGGTCAGCAGTCGGTAAGGAGAAGGGCTGAAACTAGATGAAGATCATCGAGCCAGACGACTGTATCATTCCTAAAACCTTAACTTACTTGTTTCTACTTTTCTTGTCCATCCTAGGTTGGCCAAAGTGTACACAGCTTCCTCGCAAATCATAAAAAGAATCATTCTCAGACACCTTGAACATCCTGTAAGTATCCTGAGTCTGTTTAAACGTAATTTGGCGCACGGAAGAGGCGTAGCTATTACAAAGGACTTTCCTGTGGTTTTCTTAGTACTGTTCTTTGGTTATTACGGAGTTGTTTCGTTAAATCTCGACCCCGTTATAACCAACCCTGAGCACGCTTTGCAGTCCGTCATATGGGTCTTATTTATATTTTTCCAACCGAAATCTTTCAGGTTCGTGCAATTGGCATGGCTTCTCCTGAGCTCTTGCAGTTGGTGGAGAACTGTCCTACAGGCGCTGAAACTCTTATTGCCAGAATCTTGAACATTATTACCGACAAAGGTAGTGTGATGATTTATTTTTTTGAAATCAAACTCCATTTTAACCTGTAGCATGATAAAGTCGAGAGAGGAAATTAGTGAAATAGTGTCGCAGAAATGTACGAAATATTTTATTGCCACTGATAGGAAATTGACTTGAAAACGTTGAGTGCAGAAATAGGCAAGCGAAGTCGGATCAATATCAGTATCTGGGCAACTGCCCACCTACCCCTCCCTTAACCCAACATTAACCCTAGCTTGTTATCAATTGACTGTTGTTGAGTTAGGGGAGGGGTAGATAGGCAGTTGCCCAGATATTGATATTGATCCGCGAAGTCATTGTTTTTACGCAAAGGAGAGAACTAAAACAAACTTTTTACAACGATGAAGGCGTCATTCTTTACTTCTTAAGAAAGTGATCACTTTTTGCCTCTCCTCAGTTGATCTGTGAACTTTAGTCTCTAAACGTTCCTGAGAATTAAAGTAATGAAGTACACAGGTTGGAGTTGAAACTCTACCAACGAGTGCTCATTTTGGCTTTTTCTTTGGCTTTTTCTTTGGCTTCTAGCGGTGCCCACGGATGAACTGGTGAAGCGAGTCAAGGAGCTGTACCACAAGCGTGTGTCTGATGTGCGATTCCTGATTCCTGTACTTACTGGACTGAAAAAACAAGAGATTATCGCTGTGCTGCCCAAACTGATCAAACAGTCGCCCAGCGTGGTCAAAGAAGTGTTTAACAGGCTGCTAGGATGCTTCCATAGTGAGTACAGTATTTCGCTGGAATAGATGAAAACACAATTCGGCCTGAGTGACCGCACGGTATTAGAAGTTGTCACGTATCAGTTACCTCTTCATTATTTCACCACTATTGCCGCATCCCACAAGCTTACCATATTTGTATCTCTTCATACTTTTATGTGGGATTGCATAGTCAGCGATCGTTCAGCTCCCACCGCTTTTTCACGGGTTTAATCTACCGACTTAGCGTCACATATGCGTCGAGTTTAACATGTGGTTTTCGACCTTTCAAGAAGGATATTTCTCCAAGTTCTCACATTTTCCATCTTCCTGAAAAACTAATACATCAAATTCCAATTCGTCCTCAAATTAGTGGATGAAAAAGCATTGTGGATATGTGCCACAGCTTGATTTACTATGGTTTTTCTTTCTTGTATACTTTGTGTTCACAACGCAGCGGACTCCTCTAATTTGTGCACTTCAAACTTCGCATGATCACTGCCTTCCCGTTACGTTCATGTCTTTATTGTACTATTTCCTTTTGTTTACTTTTTTGAAGTAGCTGAAAAGTGGCTATGTGAAGAATGTCGGGGAAAAAAGGAAAACTGTAGATGCTTTTGCTGGTTTAATAAGATGACTAACAATGTGTTTTTCCTTATTAGGTGATTCTAAAGTATCCGCCACCAGCCCCCTCAGTCCGTCCGAGCTCCTGGTTGCTCTTCATCAGATCGAGGCTAAAAGTGACATGAAGTCTGTTATGAAAGGTAACCCAGTATTCAAAGAGGAAGATTTCGATTAGATTTTAACAATTTTTCCCTAAGGAAGGAACTATTAAGGGATAAATTTTCAATTGATTTTGGACACTGATGAAAGATTTAAGATTTCGGACACTAGTGGCCGACTTTCGATTTTTTGTTTTCGCTCTAGGACCCCGAAATTGAAACTCGGCCCCTAGTGTCCAAAATCGAAGATCGCCCACGAGGGTCCAAAGTAGAAAATCGGCCATTGGGGTCCAAAATCGGATATCGGCCACTAGTGTCCAAATGGGTCTCTAGTGTCGAAAATTGAAAATCGGCCACTAGTGCCCAAACTCGAAAATCGGCCACTAGTGTCCAAACTCGAAAATCGGCCACTAGGGTCCAAAATTGAAAACCGGTACCAGTGTCCAAAATTGAAAATCGGCCACTAGGGTTTAAATTCATCTTTCGATTTTGGATACAAGAGGCCAATTTACAATTTTCGATTTTGTATACTAGTGACTGATGACAAGTTTATAAAAAATACGTGTTTCATTCCTCCCCCAGCCAGCAGCTTGTGTTTCGCGGAGAAGACCATTTACACTCAAGAGGTGCTAGCAGTGGTTCTGCATCAGTTGATGGAAATGAATCCTCTCCCTACCCTATTTATGAGAACGGTAAATTTCTTTTTAACAATTTAAATTCTTCACCTTCCCTAAAGTTTCTTCTTTCTCTCCTCAGTATGAGATAGGCTCATTTAAGACTGACTGCAATTCCATTTTACGCCGCCAGAACACAATTGTGAATATTTGTATCACAGACTGTTCTCTTGTTTTGTGAAAAGTGCACCTGTAATAAGAGACAATAACATTTTTGTAGCGTTATCGAGTTGCTTACATTGTATCTTCACCCTGTAGGTGATCCAGTCTCTCAGTATTTGTCCTCGGTTGGTCGGTTTTGTCATGAATATTCTCGCAAAACTTATCACAAAACAGGTGAGTAAACTAAGCCCACAATGTTTTCTTTATCACCGAAAAGTGGACTGACTTTAGACTGAAGCGACAGACTTTAGATAATAGCGTCCGATTTTGGACACTTGTGTCCGATTTTAGACACCTGTGTCTGACTGTAGACATTAGTGTCCGAATATAGACACTTTTGACTGATTTTAGACCCTAGAGTCCGATTTTGGACACTAGTGTCCGATTTTACACACAAGTGTCTTATCTTGGACGCTAGTGTCCGAAATCGGGCGCTAGGGTGCGGTTTTTAGACTCAATGTCAGATTTTAGACTCAAGTGTTCAATTTTCAGTTCTTTATTGACCCTCCTCTGATTCTTTTGTTGAAGGTATGGAAACAGCCAAAAGTGTGGCAGGGATTTGTGAAGTGTTGTCAGGTAATCTTTCAAGTTCTCAAAATTAGAACTTTGACTCCTAATTGAGTGTAATTTATGGGCCTCATGGTCTTATAGAGGCAGAGCAACTGCGCATATACCCCTCCCCTAAGCAAACATTAGCCCTAACTTGTTATTAGTGGACTTTTTTTTGGTTAGAAGGGGGGTAGGTACGCAGCTGTTCAGATACTGACGTTGATCCAATTTATACATCGTCTTTTCAGACGCACTAGTAGTAAACGCAGTTCTGTACACAACTGAAGTGGTCAATCTATATATATCTAAAAAAAGACCCAAGGTTGCACTGGTGCCGATATTCCTTTATTAACGATATTTATTCCGCAGTTCAAATTTCTTAATTTTCAGTTACTGCCTTTGCACATTTGAACTCGAAAAATAATAGTCACGCTAACATTTAATACTTCTTTTTCTTGTCAGATGACCAAGCCTCAGTCCTTCTCGGTCCTTCTTCAACTCCCTTCCCGACAGTTAGAGAGTGTGTTTGAGGTAAGACATCTTGAAAGTTCTCAGTCGTCAAGATAAGTTCCGTCTACTCTTTGTCATACCTTAGGTGAATTGTGAGTATGCGAATGTGCGGCAATACGTCATCTAGGAAGCGCAATTTCCTTATCCTTCTCCCTTGGCACCCGCCCACCTTGTCCCCCTCCCCCTCCCCACCAACCCCTCCGTTGTGTGTTTACGTGGAAATTTTTGACTCGTGAACAAACATGCTTAAGATGCAGATGATAGTATCGTGATGAGTTACTTTATTCATGAAAAATTTGATGAGAATTATGAAGAAGGTAATTTTCTCAGTATTTTTTTCAGGTTCCTTGACGCACAAGTTTTGTCATAATTTTCTAATCACATTATTTTTCAGATTTGCCCAGAGCTCAAAGAAAATCTGGTTTTGCATGTTCAGTCGTTCACTCCTCACCAGGTAAGCTCGGTTGATCATTGGTGATCAGTGCTTCATATCAAAACAGCCACAGCTCAGCTTTCACGCAATAACAGAGCTCCAAGGCTGTAAGATCGAAACATCCGCGTAGAGTCAAGCTGTATCCCTTAATTACCATAGAAGGCTTATATATAGAGAGCAACCTACATATTACAGAAATTTGTTTAGTTGGCTTCAAATTTGTGTTCATTCAAGCATGATACAGGTAACAGATTGAAAGAAGGTAAAGCGTTTTCAAGGTCGTGCCTTCACAATTGTGGACAAATATACGCTAAAATTTGTTACCTTAAATTTTCAAAAGACCATTGAATGGTCGGAACTTGTTTCTCCTTCATCGCCTTTTTTTTTGTGGTTGCACCTCGTCAGGGCCCAATCAGAAAACGAAAAACAAAAAAACCTGACGAGAAAAAGGGACGATATAAGTGCACCGTATAAATCCTGTCAGAGTTAAGTTCTTTCCGTGCGAGTTCTGTTCACTCCAGTGAGAGCGCTCTTCAGAGTAACTTAGAAACTTCAATTCAAAATAAGCGTAAACATGAACTATATGCAGATTAATGGAAACTGAAGACAACCACACAACGTAGAAAAAAGTAATTAAGCATTGTAGGAAAATAACTGTTTGAGCAGCGAGTTTATTTTTCCTTACAGCGAGCTCACATACCAAGATCCCTGTTGCAAATCTTAGAAAAGGACGGAAAGAAAGACGAAAAGAAACCGAAACCAGAAAAACCAGATAAGGAACAAATCGACCCTGAGGAAGAGGAGGAGGAAGAGGAAGAAGAAGACTCAACGAAGGGCGACAAATCTCCGAAGCGGACACGATCACACATCAGGGAGGCGCTGAAAGATAAACGGAAATCACGAAGATCGCGCTCTCGCTCCAGGTCACCGCGGAAGAAACGGGAGAAAAGTGCTGGCGAAGAAAGTGCAAGCGAAGGGGAAATCAACTAAATGAATGAGGATGGATACTTCACTTTTTATAACATGATGTTTGTAGAATGGTGGTAGAGTTACACCATCTGATAAATTTTTAAGACTCAACTTCGTTCCCAGACTATCTCTTCTCCCCACTCGCTGGAGCAAGACACCCGAGGAACAGAGCTGGAAAAGGGCCTGCAGTTTAACAAGGACATTATTGTCATGGTTAATTACATATGTGGTCTTACGTGGGAAAACACTGAAAGAGACGAATTCTCGGAGCAAGTCACAGTTTCTGTATCTTAGAAAATATTTCCTAAACTGTTGAAATTTGTTATTTCCAAATGGTGTCACTCTTTCCTAATCTTCCTTGTCCCCCCTGATGTACCATTGCCCTGTTTGTATTGTTCTTTCTACGTTTAGTTCTTTCTTTCGTCTTTGTACATAAGACTTCGTCCAGAGAAAGAAACTGTGGAATAAAAAAGAAAACGTGAAGACGCGTGGGTCGTGCTAAACTCAGAGTGTAGTAGAGCTCTGCTCCCTGATCACCAACTTGCGGACTCAGTATTTCTGTGGTTGTTTGCCCCTGACAGGTGGGAGCCCTTAAATATATAAGGTAACATTATCTGGCGTAATCAGGTGAAGGCGGTATAATATTTTCTTGTCTTTTTTTTCCCAAATATCAAAATTGATGCTATCTAGAGCAATAGCAGTTACGTTGATAAATCCAATTTTATGATAGCAATCTTTTCAGTGTGTGGGAATATAAGCTTAAACTCTCTCTTCACTTTAAGATTTCAATCTATCAATAACCCGCTTGTGAAATCCATAGATACATACATTTCCGAAACGTGTAAAACAATTTAATTTTGAAAATTAGCCTCTAAATAGGTATTTACGAAGAGCCATATCAGAAATACCACGATTGCTGAAGTGAATCTAAGATCTCAACGTCGTACGTGCGCATCGTTTTAAAAAAATTGTTTGATGTTCTGTAAATTTACAAGAAATTCATTAAAGCTGAGATTAAGGATTTAAGTCGGAAATCCTGTCATCTCTAACCAATCGGGAAACGTTGGTAGAGATTGTAAACAGTTATCAGACATGATTTGTGTGATTAGTTGTCAAAATATGTGCTTTAATTTTGTAAGAATCATTTGCTATGTAGAACTGGTCAGAGAGGAAAGTCTCTTTTTCTCATGAACTGCCGCCCTAAGTCACGTAATAAACAAAGGCAACGCTCATAGAAAATTGAGAAATATTTTTTCAACTGAGAATTTATTCAATGTTGAAAAAAGAAGTGAAAGAAGAGGCTATATTAGAGCCCTTTGTACAGGTGCAAAACTAAGCCTTTTATGTAAATAAAATAATCTTTAATTAATCGGTTTTATTGACGGTTGTGATCGAATCTAGATGCTATTTATATTGTGAACGTGCTTTGAGGTTCAGTGCGTTAAGAAACTCGCGCGAGAATGGCCACGACAAATCTAACAATCGGAAGGAAACAAACTGGGTCTTTCGAAGAACTTCGCTGCGCGTCCACTCTCACTATTGGAATACACCAGCATCTGATTTGGATTTCAGCTGTTAATACCCTTCTTTCTATCGTTTCTGTTGTTGGTAACGTTCTGATCCTAGCCGCCCTCCGCAGGGAATCTTCACTTCACCCACCATCAAAACTTTTTCTCCGTTGTCTGGCGATAAGTGATTTAAGCGTCGGTCTTCTTGCAGAACCTCTCAACATTGTCTACTGGATGTCACTAGTCTATGAAAACTGGGATCTTTGCCAGTTCGCGTCGGCTGCTTCATTTATAGTGGGCTATGTATTAGCTTCGGTTTCCTTGTTTACACTGACTGCGATAAGCGTAGATAGAGTTCTTGCCCTGGTACTGAGGTTAAGGTACAGATGTGTTGTAACTATACAACGAACATATGTGGCCGTCGGTTTCTTTTGGGCATTATCCACCGCCGCAGCAGTATCATCCCTTCGTACGCACCTAATTACTTTCTGGTTTAGCCGTATAGGAATATCAGTATGTCTAACAACGTCAATTATTGCCTACACGAAGATTTTCGTCACACTTCTTCGTCGTCGATTTCAAGTTCGTGCTGAAATTGAACAACCTGTGCCTAGCGATCAAAGTGTGCTTAACATTGCACGATACAGAAAGGCAGTGTACTCTGCGCTCTGGATACAGTTGGCGCTTCTTGCTTGTTATCTTCCCTACAGTATAGTAACAGCTCTGCTCAGTAATAGAAGGCCGTCTCAGTTGTTTTTTCTCGCTTGGGTGATGGCAGTAAGCTTAGTTTACGCTAATTCATCGTTAAATCCAATTCTTTATTGCTGGAAGATTAATGAAGTGAGGCAAGCAGTGAAGGAGACGATCAGAAATTCTCTCTGTTGGAGATATTCATAGAGTTGAAATATTCTCACTTTAAAAACGTGCAAATGCAGAGGAATACCCAAACATTTGTGTAAGAATAGCATGAATATGAAATAGCCTGTGAAAGTTGTTATCTGTCCTGCCGACCTCGTTTTCCTGCTCACAAAAAAATTTCTTCTGGGAGTGTTTTATACTAATTAAACGGATAAAAGTGTTATTGAGGAGACCCATTAAGCTTTATTTATTTGACAAAAAGCTTTTAATCAATCAAACAGGTGATTTTTACTGATATAACCTACCCCATAGGAAGTGAATAATTCTTTTTAGTATGCATCGTACGGGTTAGTAGTATTTTTCGCGCGCGCTTATTGGCTGTTTCCGAAGCGATTAGCAAGCACTATTTACTCCGAGCAGCTCAAGAGGCAATTTAAACTATTTTCTTTCGGTTTCTGTGTGGTATATTCTCAAGCAATTATTCACCTCCACCTTGGTAAATTATTGTTAACTATAGAAGATGAGAGTGACGATGTCATAGACAATTTCATGGTGACAATTTTTGTAGAATATCATGAAAATCGGTATTTTTAATGAGAGGGACTTCAATAAAGAGAATTCAGTTAATCCACAGCTAATTTTAGATATGTACTCTTTATTTTAAAGGAAAAGTTGTTCAACATTTCTACTTTTCACGAATGAACTGCCTCTATACGATATATGTATTGATTTTGCATCATAAACTCTTTATGTTTAATTTGATAATTAGGGTCAGAATACAAACTGACCACATACAAAGCTCTGCATATTCACCCCTAAGGCCACTTTCAATAAATAAACCCCTTCAACCGGCGGAGATTGTCCAAAAAATGATTACTTGATCAAGATTTTTGAGAAATTTCAAATATGAAGTGTTTTTTTTCGCTCTGGCTGGCTTTTTTCTTTTCAACTGTATAACAGGGACAAATATCCATGCAGACGGGGTTATTGCGTGATGACTGTCCAGTGATTTTGCAGCACGTGACGGAAAGTAGCCGACAAAATCACGTGGAAATTAATGGGGTTTATTATAACTCATATTATCTTTGTAAATGATCCTCCCAACCCTGATTCCCGTCCTTATGTAGATGTTTACGCCATAAGATACCACGTTGAGTCCCTATGCCGCAATTTCAGAGCTACCTGCAATCCAGAAGTGTATGCATGATGACATCAACGAGATGGCTATGTCTGATAAATCCGGAAAAAAAAAAGCTATGCTATTCATTGCTTCTAAAACGAAAAGTCTCCCTGTAATACAGGAGGCAAACATACAAATATAGAGAAAAAAGAGAAATACCACTTAGACGTCTTGATTTAATGCCAATGCAGATTTCAAATGACTTGTGTGATAACAAGAGAAAATGGTATCCCATTATTTTCCCTCTCGGTACATTTTGAGCTTAAGTGAATTAGAGAAAAAACTCTTTCTTCTTGTCACCGGAGCGAATCTCAGACCTTCGGATTCCGCGCTCTGAAAAAAAAAAATTCAAAAAAGTACAATGCAGTATCAAACCGAATGAAGCGTACGTGATGATAATTGTGAAAATGTCGCTTATTTATTTTAACGTCAAATATTATTCAAAGGAAACGAAACACTCGACAACAACAACTCAACTCAACTGGGTATTTATACAATAGATTCAGAGGCTAAAATTGCTAAGTTAGGTTTAGGCACAGTGTTTTCTGATACGCACTGATAATAGTATTCTGACCTGACATGATTGATCCATTGATTTTGACAAATCATGCTTCTAAACCGTAGAACTACATAGAAAAACACTCTTTTAAAACCGGCAAAGAAAACTAAAGTAATCGTAAGAAAATACATTTTATGATGCGGAGACGTCGATAAGCATGTTTTTTAAGTAACTTTCGCTTACAGCCGTAATCACATCGAACAACGTGCTATACAATATGGCTGGTAGACAAACTTCAGAGGAAAAATTTAAAAACCAGACAAAATATCTTGCGCTTACAATAGAGTCGCGACTCGGCAATCATATAACAAAGCTACCGGTTTCTTTGACAACATGAAGTGAGATAATTAAAAACATCGAACAAAAGTTGACGTGAGTCGCGTTTTTTAGGATAGCCTTTTTAAAACATAGTTGAGTCATGGTTGAATTAATGCTATAGCTTGCACTCAGCAACGTGAGGGTTTTTGCAAGCATCAATGTGAGGGTTTTTGCCCATGCGCTCATTGAGTTCTAAGTTAGTTTCCGGTTTGGTCCTTAAATTCCAATTTACAAGGAATCTCCTGCAAAAATTCCAATTTACGAGGAATCTCCTGCAATCAATGTCCAGACCAACAAAAACGTTGTCTATTTCCCTCTTTGACACTAAACTGTGAATGAATTCACAACAGTCTGAACACTTTTAGGAGATAATTCATTGGATGTTAAACGAGGGTAATATCTGCAAATAAGAAACTCAGGAAATGCGAACATGACATGTATTCTTACATACGAAAGAAAAGTCTGTGAGAAAAACAAAATAAAATCAGACTAAATATGTTTTCTAAAACTAGACATCAATTCGTACCGCTCGTTTAAAACTTGCTTCTTCTTACCGGAGCAAACAGAAGGAAAAAAATGCAGTTCAGAAAGATCTGATACCTGTCTTGTATGACAACATGCGTCCAGTCTGTGAACTGTTCTTTAATTTCACGCTTTACTCCAAGACAGGATGAAGTGTCGGAGGAACCAGAAGGACGAGATGGTTTCATTCAAGTTGATCACGTGGGTGTAGTAATGCATTCGAATGCCAGCG